CAGAGCCACTACCCTCCCCCACGTGGCAAAACAACTCTCAGTCATCCAAATTTAAACTAAATACAAACACCAGAATCTGTTGGTGCTTGTCTGAAACTCTATTTCAGTGCTACTAAAGTACAGTCTGTAGACCAGTGTCATGTCATGAAATCTTCAGTACCAGTCTGCAAAACAGAAATATTTATAGCCCTCCAATCCCAGTGCAATAGTTTTGTTCTGTTTGCTAAAGTTCCAGTCTGTGAAGGATTGAAAAATTCAAAATGTCACGCTGCACCATAGTAAAGTTTGAGAAGCTCTGCTCTACCTGTTTCAACAGGAAAAAGCACTTCAATTCTTGCTGGTAGGAATGTAAACTAATACAACCACTCTGGAAAGCAGTCTGGAGGTTCCTCAAAGAACTAAACACAGACCTTCCCTATGACCCAGCCATACTACTCATAGGCACCTACCCTGAGCATGACAAGGACACCTGCACATACATGCTCATTGCTGCCCTATTCACAATAGCTAAGATATGGAAACAACCCAGATGCCCCACATTGAAGAATGGAACCAAAAAATGTGGTACCTTTATATAGTGAAATTTTAACAGAGCCATTAGAAAGGATAAAATAATGTCATTTGCAGAAAAATGGATGAAACTGAAACAAATCATATTAAGTGAGGTAGGCCAAGATTAGAGAGACAAACAGTATGTACTCCATGATATGCAGAGGTTAGCTTTTAAATACAATGGGACATGACAAATTACACAGGATTCTAGACACTCATGTACAGTGAGACTAAAAGAGGATAGTCTTAGGAGAAAATCACCAAGTTGTAATACCCAGGCACCTCTTCATATGTATAGAAAGTAATATACATACTGAAACAGACTTCAAAGATATGGAAACAAAGGACCTTTTTCTTATTCATTTTTTTCTTTTTCCGATTACTCTGTATTCTTTACCTTATATACAAGCACACCTTACAAGCACATCTGAGGGAAGGCGGGGAGGACACAGAATCAGTGGAAAATGGGAGAAAAGTGCAGCTGGGAGCTCACTGGCTGCACTGGACATTGATGAACGTGAACTATACAGCTTGTGGGCGGAGATGGGAGCGAGGGAATGGGAAAGGAGGGAGCAGATGATACTATGCAAAAGGAAGGAAATGTACTTATTACCTGACATATATAAAGGTAACCCTGCTGTATATCACTGCTAAAACAACAATAAATAAAAATAAATAACTATCTAGACATTCATACACAGTGAGACCAATGGCTGATAGTCTTAGGGAAGGAACACAAAGGCGCAATGCTTATGTGCTACTGATCATATATAATAACATTTATTGAAATGAGCTCCAGGAAATGAAAACAAGGGTTTTCTAATTTGGTGTTGTTTCTTTTCTTTTCATCTTGTTTGTTCATTTCTCTGTTGTTCGGAGGGTAAGGGGGAGCAGAGAAATGGAGGGACAAGAGGTGAGCAAATGCAGCGGTAGTATTCACTACATACTCTGTTGGAAATGAACTCTACAACTTGTGGGTAGGGATGGGGGGCCGGGGGGGAGGGACTGAAAGAGAGCAAAGGAAGGGGAGGCATTGTCCAAGAAGAAATGTATTCATTACCAGACTTATGCAACCATAACCCCTCTGTGCATCACCTTTGGAGTCATTTTAAAAAATCAATAAAAATATTTTTAAAGAATTCCATTATTACCTTGTTAAATCTAACCAAGCCAAAAAATGATTTTACCCATTTACTGTTTGCCAATTAAACACAGATCAAATTTACTCCAGGGCTGTTTTTCTTTTAACCTACCCAGCAAGTTTAACTATAGATTAAAGGTAGCTTCCGATAAGAGAAACATAAATATTTGTCTTTCCTATCCACAATGGTGCCAGTATTTTCCAACCTTCATTTCTGCCCTTCTTTTCCACCCCCCACCACACCTCCTGCATTAAGGAAGTCATACATGTATCTACTTGGAAGCACACCTCTAGAACACACGATCAGCTTTCTAGGCTTCGACCTCCATAGAAGTCAGTTTGTGCCCAGTGCTTCGCCTCACACTCCCTCCTCCTCAAGTCTTTCCCTGAAGTTCTCAGCCCAACAGAATCCCCCAGCATTGGTCATAACAAGCTGACACTCAGCAGGTTCTCAAAGCAGCTCCCACAGTGTCTCCCATGTTTTGTTAATAACCATGACAAGAAATAGAGCCAAGAGCCAGGCAGCAGTGGTTCAAGCCTATCATCTAAGCTTCTCAGGAGTCTGAGATCTGAGAATCACAGTTCAAAGCTTGTGCAGCAAACTCCACGAGACTCATCTCCAATTAACCACTATGGTTTTGTGGCTCAAAGTGGTAAAGCACTAACCTTGAGTGAAGAAGTTCAGGAACAGCACCCAGGCCCTGAGTTCAAGCCCCGGGACTGACAAAAAAAAATGCAGCCAAGAGTCTCAGGCTTTCATGTTGGTTCTAAAACATTTACTGAGTGCCACAGAGTAGAAGTCATGTTGTCTAAAAACTATGCTAGTACACATTCATATCCCATCCCAGCATCTCAACGTTGTGAGTAAAACACAATGGTAATCTATGCTGATCATTGGGTGTAAGTACTGTCTTCTATTTAGAAGTCTCAACTCAGGCTGGGAAGGTGGCTCAGTGGTAGAGTGCTTGCCTTGCATGCTTGAGGCCCTGGGTTTGATTCCTCAGCACCACATAAGCAGAAAAAGCCGGAAGTGGTGCTGTGGCTCAAGTGGTAGTATGCTAGCCTTGAGCTAAAGAGCTGAGGGACAGCACCCAGGCGGAGTGCAGGCCCCATGACCGACCAAAAAAAAAAAAAAGTCTAACCGCCTTCCCCCAAAAAAGTCTAAACCCAAGTTCATATCAGGAACAAGAACTATTATTCTTTGTGCAGAAAGAAGCTACTGTTAATGGTTTGAATATGAAATGCTGCCGCAGTGGCTCGTGTGTTGAATGCTTAATGTCTAGCTGGTGTCACTATTCTGGTGGACACCTTGGGAGCTAAGTGTAGCTGAAGGAAGTGGGCCAAGGGGACACGCCTCTGCAGGTTATACCTGAGGCCGGGCCTCTTCCTCCTTGGGCTCCTGCCTGCCCTGAGGGGAGAATCTCCACCATGTGCCCCCGCCATCATGACGTCCTGTTCATGCAAGTGGAGCCACGCAACAATGGACAGAACCCCTCTGAACTCAGGAGCAGAATCAATCACCCTTCCCGTCAGTGGTTTCTGTCAGGTATTTTGGTTCGCTCTATGGGACAATAACTAACAAAGCTATTTTATAGGGGGATGGTTCTGTATCTCAGCAGAGCCTCCTCATTTAAATAAACTAATTGTGCATAAATCATCTTTACAATCCTCTAGACCAAGATGCAAATACTAAGAACAAGATTTTTTTTTCTTTTGTCAGTACTGAGGCATGAAATCAGGATCTCACACTTGTTAGGCAGATACTCTGCAACTTCAACTATACCTCCAGCACTTTGGTTGGCTTTTGATTACTTTTCACATAATGACATCTTCACTTGTAGCTAGCCTCAGACTCCAATCCTCCCTTTACAGCCTCTTGGGGACACAGGCGTGCGCCACCATACTCAGCTAAACAAGCACTTAATATAGGAAAGCCTCTCAACCCAAGTCCCAAGAACCATTACATAATGAGTCAGAGACACTCACTGGTAAGAGCGAAATGGCTTAAATAACATTTAAGACCTGATGCTATTGATTATAAGGACTATTAGATCTATCAATTTGATTTTTCAGAGTGGTATTTTTCCAGAGATGTCAGATGTCCATGTGTAGCCCACTGACCCGGTGCACATCCAGGCTCACTTCTGAGCCAGTTTCCACACACAGCACAAGTGAGTTCCCAACACCTCTCAAGCAGTTCAAGTACAGAGGCAGGCAGATACTGCTGGCTGTCCAATAGAACCCTTTGGTCTAGAGGTGGCTGAATTTATGTGTGCTTTTTCCATTAACTTTCAAGCCATGTGGATATGACAAATAAATATAGTTCCGATGAGCTTTTGTTGTTATAAATATATAGATAGATAGACAGAGAGAGAGAGAGAGAGAAGGGGGAAGCGCTTTTGTTTTAATTGGCCAAAAAAAATGCATGGCAAGATCTGCTGTGGCAGTACATACCAATAATTCCAGCACTTGGATAGAGGACACCAGGTCAATGGGTGCAAAACCTAGGGAACACCTTTTTTCTTTTAGTCCTGGATTTCTGTGGAAATAAGTGCATTGGGTAAGGACACCCAAGGTGAGTGGTAACATACAAATGCCAGAGGACACCTGGATACTTCACTTGGAGCCAAAAGTTCAGAGCAGCAGTTCCATAAATGCCAGCCAAAGTAGCCATATTGTCACCATGTCTACACATGAACAGAAAAACAAACAGTAACACATAGATCAATCTGGACCAATTGCATGGCAGGGGTTAAACAAAATCCTATATATATCTGAACAGGAAGGAGCTGGAGAAGCTAGTCATAGCTCTTGTTCTGGCAAGGTAAAGCTCCGTGATATTGGATCATTAATGCTCAGCCAGAGACAAATGGACAATGGAGACTGTTGGACATCTTACATATGTAGCTTGTACACCTGATCAAGTTTCCATTTCAAAAGAATGTGGATGCTGCCAGGAGCCAGGCTCACTGTGATCCTAGGTACTCAGGAAGCTGAGATCTGAGGTTTGTAATTTGAAGCCAGCAGGAAAGTCTATGAGACTCTTATCTATAATTAACTACCAAAAAAAATGCCAGAAGTGGAGCTGTGGCTCAAGTGGTTAGAGCACTAGCATGGACAGTGCCCAGCCCCTGCATTCAAGCTCCATAACCAGTGCAAAAGAGGAAGGAAAGAAATGAATGTGAATGCTGATTGTGTACCCCACAAACTTTTAATTCTGTTTATTGAAGAAGCAACGGTGGGCAAGCCCCAAATGCCCTATTTAGTAAGTCACTTACTCTTTAGAAAGAGATGCACAGCTTTGAAGTGGCATGTCATTGGCAAGTTTCCAATTATTTTTTACTTAATGGAATTCAAAACAGATGAGCAAAGTACCACCAAATAAAGATTACGAAATGAACTAGCAAAGAACTTCTAACATAAAACTATTGAAATTCAGGCCAACAATACTATTGTTCCAATGATGCTAAGACACATTGTCTCCAACAGCAGCAGCAACAGCAGCAACTTACACTTGAACCTGTTAACCTACCCTCAGGTAGGCTGGCGTTCTGACCCACGTCTCAGTGGGCTGAAATCCAGATGTTGACAGAGCTGGGAGATTATGTCACTTGGCCTTTTCCAGCACTCCTTGATTTGTGGTTCCTTTCTCTTCCTTCAAAGCCAGCATTGGAGCATCTCTCTGGTCTTCCATACATAGTTTACATCTTCTCTAACTATGACACTCTCTTGAGTATCAATTCTGCCTCGAGGGACCCTTTTGATTATACTAAGCCAACTAGAGTTTCTAGCCTCATTTTGTTCCATCAAACAGCAATTTAGTACCATAATCCCACCTGCAAACTGCACTATCTTGTGCCATTTCACCCAATGAGTTCACAGATTCGGGGACAAGGATGAAAACATCTTCATGTCTGAGGGGATGGCATGCCTACCACACTGAGATTCGACTAGCTAATACACATGTAAATACATTGACTAAACCAAAGTTTTTATGACAACCTCAGAATTGTTGTTCACTCAATCTAAAGAATTTATCTTTTTTAAAATCTAAATGACACCTATCAAGCTGGGCAGATTCAATAGTAACAACAAATGCAGAGCTGTGAAACAAACTGTACAATATTACAAAGTAGTGGTTATTTGTATGTGTACCTATGTACATATGTAAATGTATACCTTTGTATTTGCATGCAAACATATATAAACACACATACACAGTCTTTTAATGTTAATCCAATGATTGTAGAAAAATTAAAATATACAAAGATTCCCAGGATAATGCTTATAAAATATTGCCATGTTTATGAAGATCCAAAATCAGCTCAAGATGAAATGCTTATTGTAGAAATGCTTACTGTAGAATCCAAGGTCAGAGATAAGGAAATTCTTTTCTGGTTAGTTGTTTTCCCCTACTTACTTTCCTCTTGGGTTTTTTTTTCCCCCCTGTTGTCCATATTAAGTTTCCTGTGTCTTAAAGGCCAGCCAGGATGGAAAGTGACCCGGTCAAGTGTCCCTTATGAAGGAGGTCAAACTAATTCCCAAATGTATCAGTGCTGCTACATTGGAGGAAATCACTGAAAAGGAAGGGAAAACCATGGTGCACCTTTGCCCCCACTGGACTTGCAGTGCCAGGCAAAGGGTCCTAATTCCTTCCACAGCTGAAATGTTAGCTTGGCTTTTTGGGGGAAAAATACTTTCCTTGCAAGGGAGACCGTCATTGGTGAGAGCCAGCGCCTGGCCCATGGCTGACTTAAAAGACAGGAATGTGGTAGTGGCGGTCATTCTCTGTCAACAGAGAGATCTCCGGCCACTCCCGGAGGGGCTCCTCGGGGTAGCAGACCGCAAAGTCTCTGGAGTTAAACTTGAAGAGTCGAAACACTTTTATCTTCACTTCAAGGGAATATCCAAGTATAAACATATCAATCTGAGGATGAGATGAAAGAGAGGTCAGCAATATAAGTGTTAGAATTCCTGTCTCCCACCACCAGGAGTCAGGGAGGAAGGGGGTGGAGTGGAAGGGAGGTCATGGGGTGGGGTGTTCCGCCGCTTATGAAATGATCTACTTGTTTACAGACCCACCCATAAGCCCTTGAGTGGGCAGAGACTTAGGGACAAATGTCCATTGTGTGGAAGGAAGGGGATGTCTCTCTCCTGTGATGAAATCATAGGAAAAAAAAACTGTTGGGGGGGATTAATGAAAAGAAAGGAATGTTCACAATTACTTTGTTTACTGATTGCTTTGTGTATGTGTCAGTACTGGGGCTTGAACTCGAGGCCTGGGCACTATCCCTTAGCTTTTTCACTCAACACTGGCACTTTACTACTTGTGCCACAGCTCCACTTCTAGAAGCTTCTAGCTTGTAGTTAACTGGAGAAAAGTCTCAAAGACCAGGCTTGCTTTGAACCTGGATCCTCAGATCTTAGCTTTGAGTAGCTAAGATTACAGGCATGAACCACCAACACCTGCCTCACTTTAACATTATTTTTTAACAAGTTTGTGTAAAACTGTGTCCATTTTCTAGGAAGCAAAATAAAAACAAAACAAAACAAAAAACAGAAACCCTTTTCCAAGGGAGTAAAGCATTTCTTATGCTTAATTTTTTCTGGTAATTTCTATTTATCTGTAATAAGTAACCAAAGGCTTTCAGGAAGTTATACTGCTCTCAAAGTCCACTTTCTCCCAGGTAACCTGTACATGGGAAAACCTGTTGCCCCGATGGTAACTCAGCAGCTTTCCAGATCCGGTGCCTTGGGCAGGGGGTCTACAGACCCCTAAGACAAGCGGCATGTAGCAGTGGGGTTTGTTACTTCTTCTCCTCATTTGGGGCCAGTAATACCAGCCAGCCACTGTACAGGTGGCTTTATCCCGGCTGTCTGTGACCCCCGAAGGTCCACATGTTCACAAACTGCCCTTCGTCAAACACAGGGAGACTGTGCAACCCTACTTACCTGCTCTAATCCACAAGTGTCTCCTACAGAATTCAGGTGATTCATCATGAAGCTCAAAGGATCTGTGGATGTCTCCCTGGAAAATAGGAGTCTGAAGAGGCTGGGAATGATCTTGTTCGTTTTCATCTGCTCGTAGACTTCCGTCACGTGATAGAGCATGATGAACTTCAAGGCTTCATAAAGCTTAGACTCCAACATGGCGTCAGAAAAAAGGATATTGCACTTCAATCCTCGCTTGTGATAATCTTTAATCCCACTAAATTCAGTCCACTAAAAAGATGCAAAAGTAAAATTGAGCAGAGTGACATAGCATTGTGCAACTAGTTTTCTGATCTATTTTCCAAGTCTACGTTAACATCAGTTGTACAAAAGGGTTTCATTTTGACACATCCATACAATGTCCCTTGATCAGACTCATTTTCTCAGTCACTGTCCCTCATCCCCTCCCCCTTCCCAAACCAAGTCAAGGCGTTTCACTGGTCTCTGTTCATACAGGTAACATGAAGCAATGGAGTCCTTCCCTACTCTGTCCACCATCCCCTTTCTGTGGTGCCCATACCGCACGCAGCGACTGTCTTCCATTCCTGTCATTCTCGTTTTTAGTGTATGCACTTCCATGCATTTCACCATGGTGTTTCACACGTGCGTTACAGCACTTTAATCACACTGACCCCTTGTCTACTCATGTTGTCCGCATCGCCACTACCCCTATTATTCAGCTTTCAGTGAGTTTCATTGTGTGATCTTTACTCATTTCTGTAGTGTATTTAGATATTGTTCATCCTCTAATTCTCTCACCCTCCTCAAACAGTTCCCATTCTAGTAAAATAAGCCAAAAACTAATAGAGTAGAATTTTATCATTTTCTCTGTTAGTATGGATTCTCTAACCCTAAGTATACTGCAATGGTCCCGCTTTTGCCCCCCCCCCACCCCAACCAAACTCATATTGAATGTCTAACCGCAGGCCTTTGGACAGTCACCTGTAGACGGAGTGGGAATGGTGACCTTCCAAGAAGAAGCAGAACCAGGTGCCAATGCTCACGCTGTAACCCCAGCTACTCAGAAGGCTGAGATCTGAGGATCGTGGTTTGAAGCCAGCCCAGGCAGGAGAGTCCATGAGACTCTTATCTCCAATTAATCACAGAACAAGCTGGAAGTGGTACTGTGGCTCAAGTGGTAGAGTGCTAGTGCTAGGCTTGAGCAAAAGGAGCTCAGGGACAGCACAGCGGCCCAGAGTCAAGCCCTAGGACTTCAAAACTAAAAAGGGGAAGCAGAGTGGTTACTAAGTTCCCTCTGCCATGCAAGGACACAGCATGAAGACACCTGCCTGTAAACCAGGAAAAAAGTCCTTCCCACATCCTACCCTACGGTACCCTGAGCTCAGATTTCCACCCCCCCAGAACAGGGCCGAATAAACATTTGTTGTTTAAGCCATTCAGTTTATGGCATGTTGTTATAGCACCCTGAGCCGTATTAAACACACACATACACATATTACTCCTCTAACAAACTAGTTTAAATGAAATGTTTTTTGCAAAAGCATCACCTATTACATAAAACACCAAGAGAGTTAGTACTCTCTCTACAAGTGCTTACAACAGTTGGATTATTAAAAGATATTCCAGGAAATAGTGGTAGTATTCCTTATCACTCACCCTATACCAAGACATAGTTCAAAGTGCTCCTTTTGTATTAGCTCACTGAATCCTCCCTAACAATAACCACCCAGGGTATATAGTACTCATATTTCTCTTTTATAGAGCAGAAAACGATGGCTCAGAAAAGTGAAGGCATTTCCCAAGACGAGCCCACTAGTATGCTCAGAGATTCACACTGAAACTTATGTCATTAAAAAAGGCAGGAAGAACTTATAGTTCAATTGTATTGTTGCCATCTCCAAGTTCCACATCGCAGATGCACCTTTCAGAGTATCTTGTCTGAAACTGGCCACACTTTTGCAAGAGAAACAAACATACGTGATTGGTTGGGTTTTCAGGCCAGTCCTGTGAAGCCCCCTTACTCTACAACAGGCCTAATTATCATGCAGAACACTGCTGCTCTCAGTCAGTGCTTGACCGGAGAAAGAAGAACAAGGAGAGGAAACCATCAGCTGCTGGAGGAAGGATTCCTGCTTACACTTCTTACTGGCCTACCTTTGGGATATATGCTTTCACAGTCTGAGTCTTTTTGTTTTTCCCCTCAAGCTCACCTGTGTTTTCAACAATTCCACACATTTACGTAATTTTCCATACACATTTGAACCAGTATACTTCTCAGGACCAAAACTGTATTGCTGGATCCAATTACAGCCTTGGGAAAACAGCAGTTTTTCAGGAAGCTTGAAAAGGAAGTACAGTGAACATTGGTTAATATCTCCACGTTTTTTGTATACAGTTTGGAGTGTGTCACAGCTAACAATCTTATCTCACTTCGCAATCTTCTGTTACAATGACTGTCACAACAGTTCGTACAAAGCATATCTTTTCTGGGTGCTGTGGCACAAGCCTATAATTCCAGGCTCTGAGACAGGATAACCCGGGTCTCGGGGCCTGCCTGGGCTATATACTGAGACCTTGTCTAAAACAAAAACAAGATTGCATATAGTCACCTTATTTTTCAATTTGTGGATAAAGTGATTTTTAAATGACGTTCTTCATCACTTCATAAGTGACAAAAATAATACAGGGTTATATCCACAAAGTAATCTTTTTGTATAAAATGCTACAATTTCTGATACAGTCCACTGCCAGCCATGTGTAGGCAAATGTTAGAGACATGGAGCATATCGGGTAACAGGATTGGATAGTGACACACTCTACTTCCAACCTGCTGTCACTCACCAGCCAAGAGGTGACGGAGCTGGCATGGATTATCCCTCCTTACCATTCCCCTTCATTTTAAATTAGCCACAATGCTGTTAAGTTTACAGAGCTCTTCTCAGGATTTTCTCATTAAGTAAGAATTCAATTTTGGTATACCTAAGAATCTAAGCCATCACTGGTCTCTAGCCCAATTTTACACACATATTTTATTCTTTAACCTCAGCAGCTTGCAGCAGAGCTGACATATCATATAGACAACATATATTTTCTAGATAAAACAAAATTCATAGAAGTTTAAATTTTAAACACGTTAAGGAAAGAGAACACATTACGCACACCTATGCAAACAATACTGTTTCCTCAGTTCCCCATCCTCAATGAGACATACTGCATTCGAAGTGAAAGTTCAATTGCTCATCAAAAATGTGCTGCAGTAAACTTACGAATATAATTTAAAAAAGAAGTCACAGAGAAAATAGCTGCAAATAGCATATCTGGTACAATACTTGTATTCAGAATATATAAAGAACTCTTCAAAACTCAATGATAACAAAATTAACGGGGCAGTCATTGTATGTGATGTACATTATGTAAAAACTGAACTGTGTTACTTGAAGGGAGGGATGGAAAGGGAGAGATGATGGAGGGATGGAAGAGGTGACACTGCTGCAGATGTATTCTACTGATGATGGAATTAGAACCTCTTCACACAACTACTCAATAATAAAGTTAAAAATAAATAAAATAAAATGACATAGTATTTACAACAAAGTTTAAGAAAATAAAGTAGGACTTAGGGTATAGCTCAAGTGGTAGAATAGGTACCGTGAAGGCCAAATCCCTGAGTTTAAACTCCAGTGCCACCAAAAAACAACATAAAAAGAATAAAACAAATGCTTTCCAAGAAGATAACACAGATTGCAACTAAGCACAAGGAAAGTAATCAACATGACTACTCATTAGAGAATGCAAACTCAATACCAACGTGAACCTATTAGAATGGCTTTAAAACACACACACACACACACACAAAACCAAAAACCAAAACCAAAAAACCAACTCTGCCAGGCACCAGTGGCTCACGTCTGTGATCCTACCTACTCAAAGGCTGAGATCTGAGGATCACAGTTCAAAGGCAGACCAAGCTAGAAAGTCTGTGAGACTCTCATCTTCTATTACCTACCAAAAGAGTCAGAGTGGCAGAATGCTAGACTTGAGCACAAAAAAGCTCAAGGACAATGTCCAGGCCCTGAGTTCACGCCCCAGAACTGGCTCCAAAAAAGAAAAAAAACTAACAAAATTAACTGCTATTGAGAAGACTGAGTACTTGAAAATCTTACACGGGGCTGCCGGAGCCCCAGAGACACAGGGGGCCGCCTGCAGATCACCCGCGTTGAAGCCACCTGAGGTACCGGTTTGCAGACCAGCTGATCGCCATGAACAGAGAAACCTACCAGCCGGGAGTCTCTACGAGGATCCCACCCCCACCCTTCACTCTCCACCCGAGCAGAAAGGCAGCATCCTGCCAAAGCCGCCCAGCACCGGCAGCTCGACAAAGGGAGCTGTCTGCAGACCACCCGTGCAGAAGCCGCCTGAGGCACCAAACCCGCCCGATGGCGATCGCGAAGACCCGGTGGCCCGCCTGGGTCCCAGAGACACAGGGGGCTGCCTGCAGATCACCCGCGCAGAAGCCGCCTGAGCGTGGACACTGTGGACCCGACAGCTTCGATAGAGGCAGAGACAGAAAAGAATCACACAGAGCCACCACCGCCCAGCCCAGCCCGCAACCACCTCAACAGAACTCGGATCGCAACAGCAACTGAGGACCTACACCACACAGAAACAACTAGCTCCAGAGTGAGTACCCCACAGGGGACAGTGTATCCCTCAAGGGAGACCAGAGCTGGAGGGAATCCCCAGACCCTTACCTAGACTCCCTACCCCAACACCCGGACCACAGGACCCACTAAAACTGGGAACAGTTCGAGAGCTCCACCAGCCTGTGGAGCACACTCTGCTGGCCAGGCCAGAGCAATAGTGCCCCTGGAAGGGAGCTTAAATGCCCAAGCCAGGAACAGCGCCCCTGGGTCAAGACTACCAACAGTAGAAGAAATTTGAACTGTGTACCTCAGGCTGCATAACCTAGGTGGTATACACATCAGCACAGGCCTAACGAGCGCGCTCCAGGCTGGGGCCGGAACCAAGCCTGGGGATCCGGCGCCTGAACAACACAACCAACTCCTCCCAACTGAAGTCAAAAGCTGAGCCTGAGCATATGCCTCAGCAGAGAGGAGAAAAACAGGGAACAGCACTCCCCGGGAAGCACACCTGTGACAACAAAAGATCTGGAGGCACAGGACAAGAGAAGCCCAAACCCCACCAAAACTCCACCCATATACTCTAGGCTAGGAATTGGACAACACAGGCTGCCAGCACCTGATAGTAAGCAGGAGCTCAGGCTGATAAGGCGGCTCAGCAGTAAAGTGATAGTCTTGGATGTATGAGGCCCTGGATCTGATTCCTCAGCATCACAAAAGCAAAAAGGGTCAGAAGTGGTGCTGTGGCTCAAATGGTAGGGTGCCAGCCTTGAGCTGAAGAGCTGAGGGACAGCACCCAAACCTAGAGTTCAAGCCCACAACTAGCCCAAAACAAACAAACAAAAACACATCAGGAGCCCATAGCAGACTCCAGTATCTGGGAGAGTGCATCCAGAGTATCTGATCTTCCCAAGAGCACCCGTAGGAGCAAACACAAGCAGTCTAGGCTGCTCAACCCTTCCAAAGGCGGGAATTGCCAGCAATCTACAGCAGAGAGCCGAGAATCCTAAGTAGGTCAGAACAGCAGCTGGAAATAGGCCCCCAACAGAACCCAGATCAGGCACAGACTCTCTCTACCAATACAGAATCAGCAACCAAGCATAGACAGACACACCAAAACAAAATTGCAGATCAGTCTCCTGAACCCCCATGCGAAAATCACAGAGAAAAATCACAAGGTTTACCACCACCCAGGACAGCAAGCTTACCTCAATAGCCAGCAGCCACGCAGGGGAGAGCTCCAGTGGGAGCAAAGCAGGAATGAAAGACAAAAGCTACATCCATGGGCTGCTGGAGGCAATGACTCAAGAAATAAAGCGAGAAATTGATCAGAAATGGAAAGAACACAAGGATGAACTCTCAAAAGAGATACAGGATATCAAACAAGAAGTGCATGCAAAAATAGAAGCTGCACAAACCTCAGTAAGAAGTGAGATAAACGCCAAATTAGAGGTAATGCATACTGAGATCAGTACTATGAGAACCAACATTGAATCCATAAAGGGATCCATTTCTTCCATGCAAACCACAATAGAAGCCACGGTCAACAGAGTGAATGAAATGGAAGGTAGAGTGTCAGATACAGAAGACAGAATACACCAACTGGACCAAAAAGTGACAGATTGGAAAAATCACTCAAATTAAACCAAAGGGAAATTCAAGAGCAAGCAGATAATGCCAAGAAATTTAACCTTTGTATAATTGGAGTGGACGAAGGTGAGGAATTCCAGAGCAAGGGAATGCAACACCTATTCAACAAGATAATCAGTGAAAATTTTCCCCACCTCAAAAAGGAACATCTTACCTATGTAACAGAAGCATATAGAACACCCAACAAGCAAGATCCCAGGAGAAACACTTCTAGACACATTATAGTAAAAATGATAGATCTGAATAATAAGGAAACAATCCTGCATGCAGCAAAAATGAAGAAGGAG